TCACGTGCGATGCGGCAAACAAAAAACATGTTCAAAAAAATCCCAGAGTCACTGCAGCGTAGCATAAATTCGAGTCAGGGGATTTTCTTGGCCAGGACACCTGTTGACGTCACTTTCGGATGAGTGTGCCAGATAAAATGATGGCTAACAATTTAAGCTACGTTAATAATTAAAGTTGATTAGTGAATTCGTGGGAATTGAAACTATACAGGGGAATGGGGAATTCCTGCAATCCATTATGGAAGATTAGGTACGCTTTGGAAAATTGACTGGATGAGTGTGGAATACGAAACTACTCATTAAATTAAATAACTCATTTAGCGCTGCTGTAATTTGATGATGCATTTTTCGCCTGGATACTTCGAGAATCGTTTAGACTGGTTACTTAGGAGACTTACGGATTCTGGCCAGGACTCCGGCTCGTGTTCCGTGCTGCCAATCACAACTTTATATTTAGCTGGTCGTTGATTTTAACGACTTTGCCTTACTTAACCGTGAATGTGTTCCAAAACATTTCCAGGGCGTGTTCGCGCAGTGGACCAAAATAAACACCAACTTAATCACCAACGTATCGGAACGAGCCCCCAAAAATAATCGGTAAAAAGTAGCTTTTCTCAGGTATGTATATATATTTCCATTATTATCACATTGTCGTAAAAATTCGGCTAAAGTTGAACAAAGCGGCGAGGAACTAAACCAGTTTGTTGCACCTCGTCAACTATACTGCACAAAGAAAGTTAAAATTAAAGCGCCAAAGAAGCGCGGAAGATTTTGTACTCTGATTATACGGATATATAGGAATTTAAATGCAAAATATACGCATACACTTGCATACATGTGTGTGTTTAATAGGCCAATTTAATGGTGTCGGTGACGGGCCCTTTTGGCCACTTGAAATGTTTTTCTCTGGCCACACACTTGACCCGCTTAGCAAGGGCATTGTGGGGTGGTCAGCTCAAAAATCAATAGATACCTGTCGATGACAGGTATGGGATGGGGATGAGGATGGGGATGAGCTGGTGGTGGTCACAAAAACCGTAAACGGAAGCCCAACTCCTGGCTTTTCATTTTGCAAGTGCGTGTCTCTGGTTTTGATTCGTTAGCTGACTCGACTTGGTCTTCCCCAACGCACTTGCGTCAAGCGCGAGTGTTGCTGCCTACAACTGCTATCTGAGTCATGGCCGATTGTCAGCTGAGATACTTTCAAAAAGTGGATATTTTTCCCAGTTACAAGGGGTTTTTTTTCGTGCGAGATCAACATTCTGATTTGATTCTGGCACTCTTGTGCTAATTTCCAAATCGGAAATGCTGCGGTTGATCTGGCAAAAAAGAAGATGCTTTGATTACTTTGGGATTTCTGGGTGATTTGCATAATTCTTTGTCGGCTATTTCCTAGGAAACATTCTACACACGAGTATTTTCACAATGGTAAGACAGTCGAATGATTTGACAGATTCTTTTTTTGCCATGGGCTTAACGCCACCAAACGGGTTTTCCCCAAAGCTATTTAGCATAGTTCGCTTAAAATGCTCCACTTAACGCCCAGTTTTGTTTGCTACCGTTTGAGAATGTCCAAAATCCAGCCCGAAATTCTTGTCTCAAGCTGTCAAGGCAAGCGATACGAAATTCTTAGCCAATTGGCTTAGACCCAACGAAGGTCAAGCACTTTCTAAGGCCTTTTTGTGCTGGAATCAGGGGTGCCAGCTAGTGGGCTCCTGTATATTAACATAAATTACGATTCAATCGAGCAGCTGCCCATAAAAACAAGTAACAATTTCATTAGACCAGCTGCGATGATGTTTTGAGCGGTTGTCACACCAAGATACTTAGATACTTTCAATGCTTAAACGAGGGTGAAAAGTAGCGACTAATTAGCGTCAAGTGTCAAGAGTTGCCGACGGGGTGAGCTCATTTGTTTGCTTCACTTCGTTTTGCATTTTATGATATGTAATGCAATATTTAATCAACTGCCATTGCATTCTAAATTTAAATTTCTCGCTTTACTTTGCGGCGCGTGCACGAAAATTCCATTGAACTTGAATGCTGGGTAGGTTGGTTTTGGTTTCCACCTGTGCAGGAAGTCGCGTTCGCCGCTTAAGTCTTTTGATTATATCGGAAACGCTCGAATAAACGTAAACGGCAATGTAAATTTCAGCGTCTACGCGATCGTCGGCCCTACAGCTACATAATCCTCTTCTAATGCCCCATTAATCATCAAAGTGTGGCCAAACAATGTTGTGATCAGCGATTATCTAATATCGAAGATGACAGGGCGCGATCTGTATTACATTACCAACTTACTATTAGGTATTGAGCATAGGCAAATGCTCACCATTTGTATAATCGCTCATTCAAAGGCCAAACTCAAACCGCACCCTCTACAAAGCATTGTCTTAATGGCAAACCACAAACATATTGACAACTAAGGCCGGCAGCTCCGAAAAAAAGAGAAAAAAGCCAGTGGCACAGGTTCAATGAACGGGGTCCAAGGGAACGCTATTTTTAAGTTCGATTTAATTTGATTTGTTCGCATTAATTGCGCGGATATCTTTCTCCCAGTTGATTCACAAACGGAAGTCCAAGTAAACGCACTGACTAACCGACTGAGGAGATTCTTGCAAATTGAACGACAATGCAAGGTATGGGAAGCAATGCGGAGCAAGGCTTGTAATTTAAATTTAGAAAGTAAAAGGTGCATTATGTGGGATAAACAAATGCTAAATACTGTACACCGGCTGACTAAGCGACTCGGCAAACTGATTGCATGTTATTTGCACATTTTCCTTGATTTACACCGCCGCTAACTACACACGAAATCAATAAAAGTCATTTTTAACGTGCCCATTACAAAAGTAACGTAATAATTATATAAAGCCAAGAACCATTTGTGACGGTGATTATATAATGCCCTAAACAGTCGATCGTGAAATTTAATATAATTGGTATTTGATTGGCAATATTTTCTAATGAAACTTCTTGGGAAAAGAAAACTAATTGAAAGTAATTATATAATAATAATGATAGAAAGAATTAAAATATTTCCTTGCTGAAATTAAATCCCAAAAACATTTGTTAAAAATTGCACAATTACCATTGAATAGTTAATAAGTAAACATAAATTATATTGGTAATATTCTTTTGAAACCAGTTTTTATATTAAGAGCTTATTCGAAAAAAGTCCACTGATTTTAGCTAAGAATTATAATTATTTAAAACTGAAATTAATATATTATTAATATATTTGTAAAATACAGTGTAAGCCATAACAAAGGTTCAAAATTATTTTAAAATTAAAGCAACCACCTTCAACCAGACAACATACTCAATTAAGTGGCATGTTCTCTTCGATTCGCAGTGCAACAAAATTGTGGCGGGAACTGAAAATATATATATCTTGCCTATAGAATATAATGCCTTAACGCCATAGCAACAATTACGAGTTCGACTGCATAAATTGAATGACCTTTTTGGTCAGCAACGTAACGACGACGCACAATATTGAATTAAGTTTTTTTTTTTTTCACTCTTTCAACATGATTATTATGTATTATTTGCTTAGTTTCAACTCCAGCTCCGAGCTCGTAAATTATGCAACACTGCAACACATAAATCTCGGGCCGGAGGCTATTTTAGAATGCTGCTACTTGCCGGCAGGTGAAAATCGCAGCGTGACTAAACACAATGACGGCCCATGTACGGAATGCCACGCCTATTTTCGGCCAATTAGAATATATCTGAATATTTGAAATTCTCAGGTTAATCGACAAAGGCAAATCCAAAATGCTTGCGTGTCAATAACATCGAAAGAATTTCGAGCTCAGAATTATAACAATCGTTACGCAACTGCCGGCATTTAATTAACAAATTGCAATTTAAATATTCTCGAATTTATTATGCACACTTTGCCTTTTCATTATAATTTTAAATGTTTGCGCGCCGGTTTGACTTGATTTTTTTTATTTTGGCGCTGTGTTTATTTTAATTTCCATACATTTTCAAACTGTTTCGATCGCTGGTGAATAAACCAATTAGCATGCACACACAGCAATTACAATAAATAAAAATCAAATCGCCGAGTTCTAACCGGATGAAAATTTCGCTTACCACCGGCAAGCCAAGTGGGTTCAGATCATTAATCACAAGAACTTGGGCGCCCCGCCTAAGCCATTTATATATAGATGAATGACTCAAAGGCCATCTTTGATATAGATTACGACGTATTAATGGGTGTTGAAAAGCAATGTAATGGCTCCGCTAATTGCCGGATAAACCCAGGCAAAGAAGAGGGCATTGGATCAGAACAGGGGCTACAGGGGCTATTGGGGCTGCGCGTTAGTCACGCAGCGTGTTTTGGGTTAAGATTTTTATATTTAATTAGCAGCATGTTTGGGGTAATTGGGTGTTTTTCCTTAACCTGCTTTGCACCACGTCATCCGTCGCCGGAGTTTTGACCTCTCACCTCTCACCCCGGGGAATTTGCCCTCTCGAAAAGTCAAGATTCTTGGGATAACTGGGATAACTGGCCGCCACAAGTCACTCCACTCTCCAAGACAATGTTGTAATCGCCCTGCTGGCGATAATAATTAAAGCTGATCAATTGCTTTCAGCGATTCGATTCCATTTGATTCGAAAGCCTTCCAGTCCAGAGGCCGTTAAATGGCACAGTGCATTAGCAACACGCTTCCCGACTTCGTGCCGTTCTAAAAGACCTGCACAGATGATCGATGGATCTATAGGCCATAGGCTATAAGCTATATGGTATACGGCATATACAGCGTATAGATATAGCCGCTCGATCGGCAATCAAGCGCACAGCACAGCTGTCTGCAATTGCAGTCTGGGAATTGGAAACTGGGAACACCAGCTGGTGAAGGGCAGTTGGAGTCGCAATCCGGACTGCAATTGTATGCAAATGAACGCGTGCCGTGTCGAGAGCCTCAAATTGCATAATAATTGTTGGGTGAAATTATCGCCTTGATTTGAAACATGAGTTCTTTAGATTTTTTCGTACAATATGCAATAGAATTCTTTATTGTAATTTACTTTTGTTGCTGCTGCTGTTGCCTATACATACGGATTTATGTATAATGTGCACTCGCTGCACTTACTGCATATAATATATATGTTTGTATATATATATATATAATTTATGTGTACATATTCATTATTAATATAATATTTAGCTTGTGGTTCTTTAAATATGTTTGTTGCTGCTCTTTTATGCTCTAGGTACCGTCTCTTCGCAATTTCGTATCGCTCCTCTTTCGTTTGAGGTTTATCAACTATGTTATCGTAATGAAATTTAAAATTTACGTTTGCAAAACGAAAGCTTTAACAACTTAACTGAATACGGGTTCTCTTGTTTATTGTTTTCACTATATAATATATATATATAAATATTTATTAATAATATTATGGGCGCTCGGTTAATGCGTTTCATCTGCTCCGTTCGCTTTTAATAGCGACTAAGACACTTTTTCATTCATATTTCTTAAATTTCAATTGTTTTGCTTTTTGTCATATCTATATCGATCGATTTCTTACATGTTTTAAAGCTACAATTTGAGATGTGTAAAAACGACAAACGTTTTTACTTGTCTGTTTTTTTTTGTTTTGTTTACTTCTTGTATGTACAGCAAATGTTTTTTGTTTGAGGGGATTGGAGGGGATGAGGGATTGAGGCGGAATGTTGCACATATGTGAGCTCTGTGGGTTTACATTGGTTTATTTTAGTTGAAGGGGAACTTAAAGATTAGACCGTACGTTTAACTAAGCATATTTAACAAAAATTTATACATCTGCTTGGCGTTCTACAAACTAAAAGAGTTTTCCTTACTTAGATTTAAGCTTTAGTTGTGTGTTGCGAATCTCTTTGTTTAGTTGGATTAATAAATATTTCAACAAATCGCCCGCAGCACGAATCGATAATAGTTATAATAGTCATAGTACATAATCAATAGTAATAAAATTAATAATCGTAGTTAATTTACACGTGTTCTATAGTTACGAGTTAAATTCTGGAAAAAACTAAATTCTAATTATAGTCAGGGGGAGCTTTAGAGTAATTCTTTGAATTCTTTTCCATTACTTCTGCTTTGCTTTTCTGCTTAGTTTCTTTTTTGAAGCATTTTTAGCAAATTAAGTTCAATTAAATAAGATTAGAGGCCTAATTGCTACAACTATTAAAATTAATTGTCATAAACAGAAGACTTAGTACCTAAAGACTACTGAAAAATACAAACTAGGGACCAACAAACTTGATAATTAGGCGTGGCCAAAGTCCAGGGCGCAACTGCAGTCAAAAGGAAACATTGCACAAAAGAAAATGGTCATAAAATACAACAAAATCGAAAATTGAGGGAGGGGCAGTGGAATTCGAGTCTCGCAAATGAAGATCAAATATCAGTACAAAACAATCATGTCGCCATAAATTCACCACATGTACATACACCGAATGTTCTGATTCCTAGCAGAAATTTAAGCTTTGATAAAATTTTGATAAATTTTAACGGATAAATCGAAACTTTGACTAATTTAAACAATAAACCTAGAAAAGCCTTTGAACATTAACACAAAAATTGGATTAAAAAATATAAGGATCAGGTTTTAAAAAATAAAATTACCAATCAAATTCCGCCAAACGAAACAAAAACTCAGGTGTTTCCTAACCTCTTTGGAACCAATTTGCCTTCTGGTTTGAAACCTTTCTAAGCCTGTAGACTCCTTCGAACTTATCGCTGTGTGGCTGCCGCCGATGCTGATGCTGCCGCTGATCCCGATGCTGTTCCAGTTGCCGCCCCCGTCAGGTCGTCCCCTTGGAGATCCACGTTGGCGGCACTGGCGTACTGCTAAAACCATGACTGCCGATTGATGTCGTACGGCTTTGGCATGCCCAATGTGGCGCGTTGGTAGGCGGACGGCGGCGGCGGCGGCTGACCATAACCGGCTGCTGCCGCCGCCGCTGCCGGCCCGCCCAGCAGACTCTGGTTGAAGATCATCCGCGTGTGGAAGTCATCGCGTCGTAGGTACTGCTGGTACAGCTGCGAGTTGGGATCCGCAAACGGATAAGCGGCTGCTGCAGCCGCCGCCCGCGATGAAGGATGTGCCGCCGCTAGGAAGGGATACGATCCGGCAGCCGTATTCAGTGGGTTCTGGCTCTTATCCGCTGCATTGCCACCCGGATTCGCAGTTGCACCGCTGTGTGCCGGCGCCGGTGGCATATAGTAGGGATTGGGCGCATCCCTGAACTGATCAAGATAACTACTGGCCGCCGCCGCTTGGTCGCCATACAAGCCCAGTGCTCCTGGAGCAGGCGCAAAATTGAAGGCACTGCCCGGTACCATTCCACCGGTCGAAGTTTTCAGCGAAATGGCGGCTGCATCAGCAGCTGTTTGATTGCTGGCGGTTCCACTAGTTGCCGGAGTTGCCGCTGTGCTGCCAACTGGCGAGGATACTCCTCCGGATTTTAAACCCGCATACAATTGGAAGCCTTGATGCAGCGCCTGCGCATGCGCCTGTAGCTGATTATTGGTGGCAGCGGTGTTGTATTGCGGCATGGTTTGGTGTTGCTGCTGCTGCTGCTGTGCGGCCACTTGTTGTTGTTGCTGCTGTTGGGCTACAGCTTGTTGTTGTTGCTGCTGCTGTTGCTGCTGGGCGGCCGCTTGTTGCTGTTGGGCAGCAGCTTGTTGCTGCTGTTGTTGTTGTTGCTGCTGTTGCTTGGCTGCCTCCGCTGCAATCGTGGCTGCCTTCTTTTTCCTTCCCCTTTTCGCTGGAGCCTTGACTTCGACTGGAGCAACTGCAGCAGGTTGCTGCTGCTGCTGCTGTTGTTGTTGTTGTTGCTGTTGCTGTGGCTGGTGTGCGGGATTGTTGTTGCCGGGAACATAGTTCCCGGGCAATTGCTGCGCCGGATTGCCGTAAGCCGTGGCCGCCGAACTTGAGGCACTGTACATATGGGCCGCCGGCGGCATGGTCTTGTCGAAGTAGTTTCCGGCATAGCCCAACATCGACTGCATCAAGGGATTGCTGTAGGTTTGGGGCGGAGGCGGTGTGGGCTTGTTGTAGGCGGCCAAGTGATGCGTCTGGCTGAGATGATGCTGATGAGCGGTTGACGGCAGATGCATCATGTTGCTGCTGGCATCACTGACCGCAGCAGCAACTGCAGACTGTGTTGTGGTAGGTTTGTCCGTCACCGCAGATTGCTGTTGCTGAGCGGTATAATTGTGGTTAAGTTGCGTCTGCTGTTGCTGGTAGTTAAGTTGTTGCGGGGGCTGCTGCTGTTGCTGTGGCAACTTTTGCGGCGGGTTTTGCTGCTGCTGTTGCTGCTGCTGCTGTAACTGTAGGATCTCCAGACTAGACTGTTGCTGGTGACCCATTCCTGCAAGAAAAAGAATACCAAATGATCAGAAGAAATGACAAATCTAGGATTGTAAAATAGGAAACATTAAAGCTAAAATTAATAAAGAAAATTAATTATTTAAAAATACATTTCTGATAGATAGTACACACGAAGACAGTAAAACGTTATAGGACATAATTTCATTCTTGCAAATAATCTTCTATAATACAGTTAAACATAAATAATAGTATAATTCTTGTAGATTATACTCACCAATCATATGCTGCGTTTGCTGTTGTCTCTCTTGTTGCTGCTGTGGCTGGGGCGTCTGCTGCTTGTTGGTAGCCACTTGCGGTGATTGCTGCTGTTGCTGTTGCTGCAGCTGACAACTGTTGTCTTTCGCAAAGTCCTTGGGGAAACCCATTGCCGCAGCTCTGTTATACATTTCGAATGCTTTGTCCGGTGCAATGTTCCCAATTGGTTTGCCGAAAGCCATGGAACCCAAGAAACTATTAAACATTTGCTGTTGTTTGTTAAGCAGGGATTGCGTTTGGTTCTGGGTTTGTTGCTGTTGTTGTTGCTGTTGCTGTTGCTGCAACTGAGGCTGCGGTTGCTGCTGCTGTGCGGCAGTGTCGTCTATTTTTGGCATTTTATTTGCCGCATTTCCACTGTAATCCATGCCCATTTCCTCCCCAGGTCGTTTGAGCGGGTTTATTAATGTATCCGTTTTGGGAGGCTGCTGCATTTGATGCTGCATAAAAGTGGCCATATCACTGCCATAAGTGGGCGGCACAATCTTTTGCTGTTGCTGTTGCTGCTGTTGCATGGTATCCACTGCATCTGCTGCTGCTGCAGCATTAGCTGCGGCATTTGTTGACTGATATTGCGCATAGGTTGGATATTTCGGTTTATGTTGCTGTTGATGCCCCAGCACCTGTTGTTGCTGCTGCGGTGTCTGCAACTGCTGTTGCTGCTGTGGCGTTTGTAATTGTTGCTGCTGTTGTTGCGGTGTCTGCAATTGCTGCTGCTGTTGCTGTGGGGCTTGCAATTGTTGCTGCTGTTGAGGTGTTGCCTGTAACTGCTGCTGTTGTTGGGTTGTTGCCTGCATCTGTGATTGTTGTTGCAACTGCCCAGATTGCTGTTGTTGCTGCTGCGTTGCCTGATTAACAGTATTGGTAATGCTAGGCGGCAACAGGCTGCGATTCAGGCTCCAATCATTATTCGGCTTGGTTATAGAGGCAGTTGCAGTTGTAGAACTCGGCAGGGGATTAATCAAAGTGGCTGGATTATACAAGGATCGCTGTTGCTGCTGCAGTTGCTGGTAGCTGTCGTGAGTGGGCGCATAACCATTGTTGCTCAGAGCTGAAACACAGAAGGCAGTGGGTCAATAATAAGCATGAATTGTTTAAAGTAAAGTCACTGATTTAAAATTATTGTTATTGAAAAAAATATAAAGGAATTGCTCTACATTTGCAGGTCAAAACTTTTGTTTTGCTCTTATAATTTAAAGATGAAATAAAATTTTTAATACCGATTTTTACAAATTTGTATATTGAAACCAGGTTTATTGGACCACTAAGTTAAACAAACCTTATAATAAGTCTTTAGTGATGCAAGTACATACACAACCATCATCATCTGATGAATTTAATTAATTAATTTTAACATTAATAAAGTAACATAAAAAAGTTTCAAAATTTCTGTACGATGTATTTTTTTGAAAACGAAAAAGACATGATAAATGTACTTTTACTTTACTTTTTACTTTACTATTATATTATCGGGTGCACTGACTTAGAAACCATTTACTCAGCTAACCTAATAGGTCTTTCGCATTCTTCAGCTCTCAAAAATGTTGAAATAATCTTTAAGTAAAGTTCACACTTTTCAACGAATATACCCTTTTACTCTATAACATCTCCCAACATCTTATCCAGCAAAGATTTTACATTTTTTTGTATAAATAAAATACTCACCCGTTGACGGCACAGCACCTGTTGCTGGCTGTACGGGCGGCACCACGGGCGGCTGCACCTGTTGCTGCGGTTGCTGATAGGGGGACAGCACGGGCTGCTGATACGGCGAGTGCTGCTGCTCCGCCGGCGACTGAGCCAGCGGAGTGGGTGGCTGGGTGGCTGCCGAGGATGCCGGGGACTCCACGCTGTGCATGGGACTGAGAGCCTGCTGGTGGGCCGCCGGACTGTGGGAGGGCTGCGTGGATTGCTGTTGCTGCTGGGCGGCGGGTGGATGATATGGTGAGTGCTGCTGCTGGTGGTACGGCGACTGGCCATGATATGGCGACGGGTGCGTCGATTGCGATTGCTGCGGCGTGGTGTACGGCGAACTCTGGGGCTGTTGGTAGGGCGAGTGTGGATTCGGGGTGCTTGGACTCATCGACGAGTTGTAGTCGGACTCCTGAGAGCGCGGCTGCTTGTACTGGTCATAAATTGGAAGCGGGGATGTGGAAGAGTAGGCCGGGGTCTTGGACGCCTCTGAGCCCGAGGGATTGTAGCTGTTTCCACCGCCGTAGGGAGAAGTGCCACTCATGTCCGGAGTGGACACATTGGGCGACGAGGCGGAGGAGTAGATATGCTGGGAGTACTGGGGATATGGAGAGTTCATCTCCCTGGGGCTGCAACTCTTGTCCGGGCTGCTTTTGGTCGTGGTGTCCTGGTAGAATCCCACTTTGATAGCTCCATTCAGGGGATAAGGTGAGGCGGGTTTGCCCATATCATCATTGGGCTTGGGGGAAACCATTATGGGAGATGCTCCAATGGGTGAGGCACCGATTGGCGAGGTATATGAACCAGCCGCATACGAACCGTACCGCTCATCGATGGCTATTCTAGGCGAATCCGGATCCTGGCTAAATGAGCTCCTTTCCGAGTTCGTGCTTCCGGTGCTGGGTTTTCTTTGACGCATCACCGTTGGCAGGGAGAAGTTGTCCCCGGCAGGCGAATGAGCTGGTGGAGCCACCTTGGAATCGCCTTGAAGATCTTGTACAGACGTCTGCTGCTTCTCTTCCTCTTCGGACTTTTTGCTAACCTTTGGACCACCGAAAGCTTTTAGCCAGGCGCTAAGATTGGGCTTCTCCTTTTGGCTCGCTTCCGATTTTGCTCCCTCTGAGGATTTCCCTATTTTACTGAGTTCCAAAAGAGCTTCAAACGGTTTCGGTGCCTCTTTGTTCGGTGTTGTGGGCGTCGCAGGCTTCTCTGATTTGCTTTCCTCGTTGGGACTGTCATCCTCGTCTGTGACTTTCTTTCCTGACATTTCCTCCAGAGATTTGCCCAGTGCAAAGTCCTGGGTTTTAAGAACTGTACCCAAACTCAGTTTCGGTGCTCCTTCACAGGTTTCCGTGATGAGGGCGTTCTTCAGCTCCTTAACCTTGGTGGCCACCGGGTTTACACCTGCGTGAGAGTCTCCGCTTTCCTCCGTCGGTTTGCCAGTGGCTACATTTTGCAGAAGATTACCCTTGGCCTTGCCAGGTTGAAGCCGTTCAATTGTCCTCATAACATTCGCCTTGGCTTTCACCTGCTGAGCTTGGGCTGCTTGCGCTGCCTGTTTTTCCTTGAGGGATTTGCGCTTGGCCTCCTTGGCCAGTTGCTGTTTGATGTGAGGCGGTGGTGGTGGATTCAGAAGCAGCTGCGTGGTACTCGGCTCCTTTGGCTTGGGAATGGGAAGCAGTGGTGGCGGAGCGGGTGTTGGCGTTGGGGTCACTGCCACAGGCAGAGGCGTGGGCATCGAGTTGTTGGAGCAATTCGAACTGGATGCTGCAGTGGCGGATGTGCTGCCGATGGAATTTCCTGAGTGCATCGAATGTGGTGGGGTTCCACAGCTGCTGCTTACACTGCTCGGCGTTGGGGCCACCGATTCCGATTCGGATTTGCTGGCAGCCTCTTTCGGTTCGCTGACAAGTTCATTGAGAGCCTCCGCCAATTTAGTAGGTACCAATTCCGCTTTTGGAGCAGCCAATGCCACTGGTCTTCGAAAATCTGCTGCATCCAGTTTATTTCCAATTCCCGAGTCGAAATCATCCAATAGATTATAACGAGATGGTGAATTGCTAGCCGAACTGAACTCCGTAAAGCGGGGCGTGTGCTCCAGCCAACGATTTATGTCTTTGAGGGTCTGCTCGGTTTCCACATCCAAAGCCTCCAGATTTGTGTTATTGTTGGTCTGCGGTTGGCCTGCTTTCTGGGCTGCCTTTTTGCTGGAAGCTTTCTTACCAGACCCCTTCTCATTTGGTTTATCGGCAGGTTTGGGAGGCGGCGGCATTTGCTTGTCGGGTCTTTTCTTAGCCGCCGTTTTGCCAGGCGTTTCCTTCACTTTGCTGGGTGCTGGTGCAGGGGCTGGAGTTGGAGCTGGAGGTTCCTTTAACGGTTCTTGTGGTACTATCGGTAGTGGTGATTTCTCTCTTGGAGGTTTTTCCAATACTTTTGGTACTTCCTCCTTTTTCTTAGACTTCTCAGAGTGTTTCTCGGAATCGGCTTTGGCAGCTTTATCAGTTTTCTCCACTTTATCCGACTCCTTCGAACGCTTTTGATCTTTACTCTTCCGTCCGCGCTTGTGCTCCACAGGATCGGGCGACTTTTCCCGCTTTGCAGTGGCTTTCTTGCTTTCCCTACTGCTTTTGGTGCTGGCTGGTTTGGAGTCCTCGGAAGGAGCTATCGAGTTGGAGGCACTGGAGCCACTGAGGGCGGCACGACTACGTCGGAACTTGATCACATCGTACTTGTCCATAAAGGGCAGCAGCATCTCCAGTTCGGCCTGCTCGGCTGCAGCTGCTGCAGCGGCTGCCGAAAGCGGGGACTCTTCCTTGCTCTTCTTGTGCTTGGCGCTGCGGGACTTGTCCTTATCCTTATCCTTATCTTTATCTCTATCTTTTTCCTTATCCCTACTCTTCTTTTCCTTCTCTTTTTTGGAGTTTTCCCCCTTTTTACCCTTTTTTGGCACCGGCGGACGCTCCTCGGAACTAGCCCGACTGCTGCTCAGGGATTTAAAGTCACCGTCAGACTCTCGGGAGGATCTCTCGCCATCGTTATCCGCTTCGTCCTGGTGCCGAGCAGTTAGTTTTGTGGTCTCCGCTGTGGGAACCTTCTTGACGGTGGTCAACAGCTCGGAGAGATCATCGTTAAGGGCACTTTTTGAGTATTTTTTGTGGAGATCAACCTTGAAGGGCGACATGCTGCGTGACCGCGAGCCGTCCTCATCTTCGTCTTCGTCCGCGGGCTGATCATCCTCATCATCTTCCAGCTCGGCGGCGGATTCAGCTAAAGCAGCCGCTGCCGTTGGTGGCAGCAGTTTCTTTACATCCGAATCGGATTGCTCGCTGTCCAGTGAGTCATCTTTAACCTTGCGTCCACCCTTGCCCTTACCTTTTACTTGGCGTTTGACTGGGGTGGGCATCTTTACCTTGGATTCAGCGGGTACAACTTTCTTTTTTTGGGCCGCTATCGTTCGAGCTGTGGGCTTGATCAAGGATTTGGCTTTGGCCAAGGATATTTGGTCATCATCGCTGTAGTCCTCGCTCTCGCGGCTGTCGCTGGGATCCGATTCTGGCTCCGATTCGTGCGCCGACTTCTTGGCTCCTTTTTTGGTCTTTTGCTGCTGTTTGCTGGGCTTGGACGCGGACTTTTCGCCCTTAGTCTTGCGTCCCCGCTTGGAGGAAGCGGTCTCCTTATCCTTATCCTTCTCCTTATCTTTCTCTTTCTCCTTTTCCTTATCTTTATCCCTATCTTTCTCCTTTTCCTTCTCTTTTTCTTTCTCCTTTTCCTTGGCGACCTTGCCCGTTTTGCTCTTCTTGCCTGATGGCGGAGGAGGAAGTGGCGGTGGTGTTGGTACTCTCTCGGGTTCCAAATCCTCATCATCCGTTTCCAAATCAGCCTTGCTTTTGATTTTCTTTTTGCGTCGTTTGTCTTTTTCTTTGCGCTTACGTTTTTGGGCCTTTTGTGCGGCTTCCGCTTCAATCTCACTGATATCCTCTTCGGCGCTACTTTCCAGACGACCTGGCGCATCCTTCTCCGTCTCCTCCTTGGCCTTCTTGCTGAAGTACTTTTCACGGAATACATTCATTTTAGAGTCAGCGGCAGGATAGCTCAGATTGGGATCATCGTCCTCGTCGTCGGAGAGATTCTCAAAGTACTTTTTGGTTGCCTTTTCAAAAGCGTCCTGCAGATTGTTTACCATCTCTGTGTATTCTGTAGACGATCAAAAGCAATGTTAGGATTTCTACACTTTTTTGTGCTTACTACGAATTTTACCATTATTGTGCCCATTGTACAATCTGCAGTTGTTGACGATCAAGCGAAAGTCATTGCGAAATTCGCTGAATTTGTGATATTCCCCACTGTCTAGCTTGTCCTCCATCTTCAGCAGGTCCATTGGTCTGTTTAAAATAACAAAAAGAGATTAGATTTTGAAGTATATTTTATAATTCAAAAAAACGGGTTCTTATATAAATTTGCAGTGAGTACATTTTTTTAGAACTTGATTGGTTAAATTATGAAGTATTAAGTTTTTTTAATTCTAGAAAACCTTATAATGTAGAGTTCTACCCACCTCCTGATTATCGAGTAATAGCGCGGTGCTATATCCTCTTCCACAGGATCCACAAATGGCCAGGCATCGCGATGGTTCTTCACATAGACGAGCACCTTGTGCATTCCGATTTGTAGGACCTCCTCCGTTTCGGTGAAGCTAAGAATATTTGCATGATTGGAGGAGTTGTACGTTGAATTGTTGTTCGTGGTTACTGGGAGGTGTTGTGATGTGCTTGTTGCGTTTGTTGTGTGATTGTTGTTGTTGTTGTTGTGGGTTAGGGAATGGTGCGTATTGGATTTATGTTTGTTACTGAAAATATTAGTGGTGTGGTGGTGGTGGGTGTGGGTGTGGTGTGAATGGGAGGTTTGGTGGTTGTGATTATTTTGATTATGATTATGATTCGAATTATTATGATATCGCTGCGACGTTGTCGTTGTTGCTGTTGTTGTAGCCGATGCCGTCGTTGGGTGGCTGTTGTTGTTGTTGTTGTGACTGTGGTGCGACGCGTGCTTATGGTTGTTGTTGTTAAGGCTGCTGTTGTTGTTGGTGGTGCTACGGTTGCTACTATTTACATGGCTACATTTTATCGGGTGTTGGGGTTTTGATGAGCAACAGTCGGAATGTTTTTTCGTTTGTTTTTGCAGGTGGGTACAAAAGTTTACAATAACAATGATAAATATGTTAATCAATTGATCATATTATATACAATTTGATGGGTGAATGGATGAAAGAAGCCGACAACATGCAATGGCACATAGATAAGAATGGATAACAAACAAGTGAAAAGAAATCATGAATATTTTCAACTGAGGAAAAAGGACATGTGATAGGAAAGGAGTCAGAGCCTCTGCAATCGGTTCAAACTCAAAATCAACAACAATACAAGAGTTGAGCATCATGAATGCTTTTGCATAAAATATACAATTATACCTTGATTAAGTCTGCTACCGAACTGTGTTAAATTGGCCAATTTATTTTGTCATTTTATTTGAATGCTGTTTATTAAATTTGTTAGCTGATTAGAAAACTGATTTATCAATAATATTGTTGAACGATAATGTAAGGTTAATCATTCGAGATTTAGTATGATATGAATGTTATGATTAATCAAGATGTACGTATATCTATGACATGATGCCCCACACCTCCAACAGCAAGCAGAATAAAGAATGATTAAAGGAAATGCCGAGAGAAAACTGATAGTACGATTGTGTTGTGTCTGGGGGTCGAATTTCTCCGCCCTCACTTACTCATCGCCACTCTTGTCCGAGTAGGCACCGCTGTTTCGCTCCGCCTTGCTGGACGATGAGGACGCCGATGAGCCCGCCGTCGACTTCTTGGACTTTCCCGCCTCCGCCTTGCTCAAGTTCCGATCCGCCTTGTCCGCCACTTTGCTGCTGCTGCTGCTCCCGCTGCTGTTCAGCACGGCCTTTTGTTTCTTTGAACGCACGGTGCTGGCAGAGGTGGCACTATGGCTGCTGCTGCTACTACTGCTCTGCGGTTCCTGCGACTGCTGCTGCTGCTGGGATTGTTGCTGCTGCTGCTGCTGCTGCTGTTGTTGGGAGCTTCCTCCCGGTATGAATATGTTACCGGTAAGCGAACTCAGCGAATTGTTTGTCTGCCTGCCTGGCAACTTAACATTGGCCGCTGGCGCCATTGAAGGAGCTATTGCTGGGGGCTCTGGTTCCACTGCTGCCGGCTGATCCACCTGCTCGTCCTGCTCCGTTTCACTCTCATGTGCCACCGGCGAGGGCAGACTGAGATCAGCAATACTCGTGGCCACCGCTATGGCAGCCGAATTCGTGTCCAAGAGCTGCAGCTGCCTACAAAAGTTCTCCTTGTCCTCGGGACTTAGAGAAGTCGTGGGTTCTCGTGGCTCTGGCTGATGTTGCTGGTGGCCACTGCGTCGTCGCTTTGGCTGGGCACTATTGTTGCTGCTGGTGCTATTGGTGTTACTATTGCTATTGCTGTTGCTGTTGTGGTTATTGTTGTCGTCCTCGCCCTCGTCTGCCTCTGAAGCATACTTGTGTCGCCGCCGATGATGATGATGGTGTTCGCGATCTCGCTCACGATCTCTATCCCGATGGTGTCGCTTCTTCTGCTTCTTGCCCGATTTTTTCTTCTTGTGGTGATGATGATGATGGTGGTGGTGGCCGCTCTTGCTCTTCAATTCCGCCGGCGTCTGCGATTTTGGTGTTTCTGGAGAGCGAAAATCGTCGCCAGTTGCTGAGGCAGCTAATAATTCCTCCGGTTCCTGTTGCTGCTCCTCCTCACGCGGCTGTTGTTCTGTTTGCTCTGGCTGATTTGGATGCTGCTCCGCGTCAAGGGCCTCGTCGTCGTCGTCTTCGTCGTTTTCTGGCGAGAGGCAGAAGGTTTCCCTGTGGCACAGAAATTCGCTCGAATTAGTTGTGGTTGTTCGTCTGAGGGAGCTTGCGTATGTTGAAATACCACTAGCCGTCGATGTTGACTGGGATCTAAAACATACAGCATTAAATGCAAACAATGTTATTATTGTTATTATAATGTTATGTCCAGAAATATATTTTCATTAAGACTCAATTATGATTCAATGTTTTTTGTTTGACATGAAAGATTTCAAAGCGAAGATATGGCAGTTATTCACGGAAATGAAATACATGAAATTTGATTAGTGTGTTAACAGTTTAGAGCCAATATAAAATAATCATGAAATGTTAATTTAGTTAAGTCTTGGCTAACATTAGTCAGTACTGATTGAATCAGCTTTTTTACGATATGATAATCTGATAATAAATGGATATTTGATATGATTATGTCAATGTCTGCGACTCGTGGATGGAATGAAAATGCGAACTTAATATAAAATAAACTTAAATCATAAGATAAGACATATATCGAATAGAAATATATCAAAAAGCATGCTTACAGAGTATTTTTGAAAACGAAATCCAACCAATTCTTCCATATACAAAACTAAATGATGGGCAAAACTCAAATTAAGTGCTGATCCTCGTTCCGCTGATTCTGGTCCCGGTTTTCACGTAGATGCTGATGATGGTGATTTGTGATTAGCTTCTATTACGTCGGCAAAACAAATTGCAAGCGAAAATTGTTTGGTTCAACAAATCATAAATTACGACAACTCAAAAGATCAATTGAAACGTAAATCAAAGATGCTTTTGGTATGCAAGTGTGTTGATGGATCTGTTTCGGTTTCGATTTTGGTTCCAGGTATATGGGCGGGATGTGGCCGTCGCTTCCGCCAGGCTTTTTAGGAACATTGGCGTGCTAACCGTCTGCGTGTACGCTGTTGGGATTGCTGCTGCTGTTGTTGTTGCTGCTGTTGCTGTTGTTGTTGTTGCTGCTGTTGTTGTTGCTGCTGCCGCGGTGTTAGCCAGTGCCCGTTTTGCCGCTCCGGGTACAGGTTCTCCCGTTCGCGTCGCTTGCGTTCCTCCTCCTGGCGCGCCTTTAACTCAGCTATATTACGAATGCGACTGGAGTTACGCACTTGCAGGAGTCTGGGTCAGAAAGAAAAAAATGTATTAGGAAAATGCTTTATATATTTTAAGACTCGCAGTGAGGTATTCCTCATTAATTTAAGCCATTTCACTCACTTTCTGCGCCTCAAACGCTCACGCTCGCGGAATAGCTGCGGAAGCTTGGGCAGAAAGTTGTCATCGAGTATGTGAAAAAGTTCGCGCTCCTTGGCGTTTGTCGAGGTCTTGAACTTGGCGGCCAAGTTCTGCCAGTCCTCCTCGGTGAAGCAGATGACCTGCCAGACGGTGCCGTTGCTACCGATACCCTTGGTGCTCGATATGCCGCCACAAGAGGCTGATCCGTCACCTCCCGAACCCGACGAACCCGAACTGGAGGCTGCCGCTGCCTTGTCCTCACGATAGAGCCGTGTGCCGTAGAAATACCAGTAGCCGGAGTTCTTGGCGTCGTAGCCCAGAGGCTCCACGCGCAGACTGTCCGCCTCTAGATTGCTGAGGATGACCTGCACATCGGCCGAATCTAGGCGAAAGTGGCACAGGTCGTGCAGGATGTGCAGACGCTTGCGGACGGGCAGCGACTGGAAGTCAATGTCCGTGTCGAAGTGGTTCTCGGTCTGGTGCAGGCGACACTGTTGGCGCAGGAAGCGACGCAAGAACATCTGATAGTTGCTGTGTGTGATTTCTTTGGCTACCGACTGTAGCGCATCGCAGCCCTTGAGCAGGCGCACAATTAACTCGGGCACTAAGGCGACCTGATCCTCATCGCTGGTACCATCGGAAAGCAGCGCCGATTCGAGGTCCTGCGAATTGGATGGCAATTTTTAATTATCTTGTTATTGGACAGTTTTAAGCAAACACTCACCTCGATGTCGATGTCGGGCAGATCAAAGGCGGAACTAAACAATGAACAGAAATGCGAAATACACGGTATCTCCCACCATGATTGAATGTCTGTGGAAGAGGAGGTATACTTTTATCAGAAGTTTGCGACTATAACGACAAGTTTAATTTTATTTGAAGTTATTTTAAACCCTAATTAAAACAATTATATTAACAAATTCCATGATCATCAAATTTAATATGTTGATTTATGAAACAATTTTTAATTGTATTGCTAGATTGCAATAATTCAATTTTAACGTTGATAACTGTAAGCTAAACTAAAGTTTTTGCAAAATAAAGGGTTAACTTGTGTATTAAGGACAAAGTAAAGCCTTTAAATATTTTGTACAATTAAAAACCGTAGTTTTATACATGAGTACATTGTTTTGCGTTTGAACTGACCACTTTATAATAAGCTGAAGTACTTATTGTATCTCCATTTTTTAACTCACCTAATAGACCAATGAAAGTAGAAACCATTTATGTATGCTTGCTTATTGAAAACGTTGTGGGATTTTTGAGATGTGACTAAAACTATTCCTGGGCCTCTTTGGTTCCTCACTGCGTGGAAGTCGGGCTGTATATAATACACATAAAGAGTGTTGTCAGGCGTTAACGAATTAGGCTCAAGTTACACGGCGGAAAGTCGCCGAAAAGTCGAAAGGCGGCAAAATGTGTGCAACATGTGTGTGTGTGCGAGTGTCGTGGAGATATTTGGCGGCGATATATACACAAACATCTGGCTTTATCACTTATCAAACATTGCGATGCACGCGAGGGAATGGGAAAGGCGGTGGGGGTGGGCTGAGTGGGTGGACAGTGGGCGGTAGGTCAAAAGAAAGTACACGAGCACCCCTTTCGCGCGCTTATTTTTACGAAGAGAAAATCAAAACAGACAGACGACAAACGGCAAACGTGTGCGCCAAAGCGGGCCAGCACTAGAGCACCCAACCAATAGCCGAACCGCTCACTTTTTCACGTTTGCCTGCCATCTCGCTTTCGCACGTCACTACTATTTTGACTACTGCACTCGAGTATTTTGCAATTATAATGTGCAATTTACACGGCTCTTGAGCTTTTGGTTTCATTTTGACCAGCTCTCGCACGCGATTGTTTTGGGTTGTTTTTGGATTTAGTTAGGGAACAATAAGCTTAATTCAATCCGATTTAACTGCCGATTTCGGAGCATGCGCGCGGCGGCTGACGACCAACCGCTTTTCTCCGCCTCTGTTTTTTGCCTGCTGGCCAGTGTGTATTTATTTTTATTAATACATGTATATATATTTTTCAGTTACGTGCGAAAATGTCATTTAACTTTAGAGACGCCCATTTCCCAGTGTTTCTTCCTTTCTTTCTGCTTTCCCCTTCAATTTCTTTTTTCACACACACGCACACGCTCGAATGCGAAGGCACGCACACAGTCTCACGGACAGAGGGGCTCCATCTGCCTCAAAATATTATTAATTATTTCACAACAACAACGAATCGCACTACACAAATTGCGCCAGGTGTTAACTATACATTTTGCTAACCCTTTTCGATCCCGTTGGTCTGTTTGTTGCTTATAACTTGCGATACGCGTTTTTGCGCTCCTGGTTAATTTTATTTTCCTTCAGCGAGCAGCAAATAGAGGTGGAAAAACGTCGATTCCAAATCGGTGTTATCGATGTTTTCAATCGGTGCAATCGATGTTCTTAAAAGTTACACCGATGTTTGACGTGAAAATCGATGTTTGCCCACCTCTACTCTGCTTTCTCTCTGCCAGCGTCATCATCGTTTTTTTAACTGAAATTTCGTCGAACTTTAAATTGCCGTTAAGAAAAGTGAATTAAAATGTTCAATAAGTAGTGACGTCCTTGAATTTGTCAACAAGCAATACATCGATAGTTCAGCCGAAAACGGATATGGGCCAAACCATAGCTCAATAAGCTTGAAAACAATTAGAACATTTATTTGCTACTTATAATTATTATTAAGTACAGTACTAAAATTTAAATTTAAAAACAAATTATTTAGTTCGTTACCTTATAATTTTACTTGTTCCCAATATTTGTAATTATTTATAATCAATAATCAAGAAGTAAATATATATTTGCAAATTCCCTAGACTACCGAATCTTTGAACTGCTGAAATTCGGTCAGCTGTTTGTCAGCTGTTCTGCTCTTTTCTACTAATACTAAGAACGCAAGAATGTTTCCAACATAAAAGTAATCATCACATAATTGAAAAAAAGGGAGTTTAGATAGTCCATAGTTTGTTAATAAGTCCATTAGTTCGTCTTTCTGATTTTCCCAGGCATTTTCCTCAAACAATGCTAGACAATTTGTACCGGCTGCTCGATAAAACAGCTGTTTGACAATCTCAGTAGGAAAAAAAATTGGTGCGTTCCCTTAATTACTGACATTCAGAGGTTCAGTTACTCAAGGAATACCCAAAATGTCAACAAAAATGGCACAAACTTATACAGCACACCTTTATAGAAGGCTTAAAATTTGTTGACTTTCAATTAGTTTAACCGTTTCCAAAAAATATACATGCACATTCAAAATTCATTACCCCATTTGCTTAGTCCATTTGTTGTCTTTTATTATTTTGTTTTCTCGTTATCCCAAATCGATATTATCGATAGTCCTCTGCCGCTTGCTTTGCGCTTGCCATTCGCCGACCCCCACCTCTCCACCCCTTGTTTTTCTTTCTTTTTTCCATCCCTTCCTTCTCCCTCCTCCTACACGAGCAGCTGTGAGTCTAACCTTACATTTTGGCCCATAAACTACATGGTGGCGTGCTTGTGTGTGTTGTTGCTTTGCATGCACGTGTGCCTGTGTGTGCATGACTGTCACCATGTAGGTCGCCATGTACATTCTAGAGTAACTACATGGCATAAACCGCGGGTGGAGGGGCTATCAATTAAAGATTAACCAAAATGATGACGAACTATCAAGAGCATAAACGTAGTTTTGGCTTTACAAAATATTTGCAAGCTTACGTGCTAACTTTATGGTAATTTTAGCCGAAATTCAAATACATCCGTTTCTCTGCCCGGGAAGTCCCACCATGTAGGTTTCGTCTACATGGCGATTCTAGCCTACATGGCGAGACATGTGAAACTGGTTTGGGCAAGGGCGGAATGTCGAAATCGGTTGTAAAATGGAATGGTACCGGAAAAGCCTCCCCAAGAACACAAAAATAACCCATTTATAAACACAATAAATCTGTTTATATTGTTTTAGTTTAAAATTAGCATTTTTAAGTGTAGCTGTATGCTAAATGAACAGAAAAAACTCCTATTTTTATAAATTGAAAATATTTGAAATAAAAATAATAATTTTGAAAATTAAAGTTTTTTTTTGCCCATTAAAATTTAAACTTACTTCTATTTTTTATGAAAATTGAGTAGTTTTTTACAAATTATAATTCGTAAACTAAGTTTACTTAAATATGATAAATAATTTACATAAATGTAAATTTAAAGTAATCTATTATGCTAATTGGCAATGATGCCACAAAAACCACACACATATATTCAAAAGCGATAAATTAAATAAAGAGCACAAATTTAAAAATCGTTAAATTTGTTTAGCATTTTCTCTACGTTTTTTTGTTGTTTACTAACTTTCTCCATTCCCCACATAAAAACTGTCATTTACAACCCGAACCAACTGCTTGTATTGCATACATACGAATGTAGTCTTTATTTAGTTTTAATTTAATGTAGTTTCATTTAGTTTAAGGGGTAAAGTTTTAGATACATAGAATTAATAACCAGTGTAATGTGTAATGCGTATTTACAGGTGGTGCCGCAGCTGTGGCAGCTGGAGCAGCGCAGGCAGGTGGGGCATATGTGCATCCGGATCGCGGGCTCGCATAGCGAGTATCTCTTGGGGCTACGGCTCGATCTTGCGGATCTTCAGACTTCCGCTTGGTCCACGTGGCGTGATATGCGCAACTCCGGCCGATACACCCGCCGACCCGGCTGCCGTGCTTACCAGCTGGGGCATCATCAGTGGGCCTCCATTGCTGCTGGCCTCTCCGTTTCCGTTGCTGGGACTCGATATGGAGCCGTTATGCAGGCGCCGCTTTAGCACGAACCGTTTGCCAGTCGTGGCCGTCGTCGTGGTGGTCACGGTGGCCAACGAGACGGTTTTCGCTCCCTGCGCTGGCTCTTCGTTCACGGGATCCACATCCATGTCCGTGCCGGCATTGTTCTCATCGTGCTGAAAGTAACGCAAGCGTTAGTGACCATTTTACAGCAATTATACATCAAATAGCACTCTTCAGAGCACGAAAGGGTTTTAAATACCCAATCAGCACTAGTCGCAAACTCACCATTTCGCTCGTGGGATCCTCGTCGTCGTGACCCTCCTCCTCCTCAAACTCGGCGCTCTCCGTATCTTCGGGATACTCCACCAACTGCCCGTTCAGCGTGGGGAACTCAATCACCGGCAGGATCTGCCTCTGTTGCTGGTTGCCATCGTCCATCAGCTGCTGGATGAGATTGGCAATGTCCTCGCGCTTCTTGGTCACAGTGAGAAAGTCGAACCAATTGGTCAGCTGCTTGATGGGCAGCCTATAGTCTCTGATCGGCTCGCTGAAGAACTGCTCCACATACTGCAGGAGGTACAGGCCGCAATCGGTGAAGTTGTTCTGCTGCGGCACCTTGACGCAGTGGCCCGGCATGTTGTCCTTGTTGAAGACGTGCGCCTGCGCATCCGGCTTCTTCACCCGGTACTCGCATGTGAGGTAATCCCGCAATGTGGCCACAACGCGACTTCGCGAAGCGCCCGCCAGTGAGTCGAAGATGAGGATCAACGGTTGTTTAACGGCTGGCACCTCGTCGGAAGCAATGTTTCTCGCTGGACCGCTGGGAGTGGGCTGTGAATTGGATTGACTGGGGGTGCTAGCAGTCGTGGAGGTTGGCGTGGCCACGGGCTCCTTGGCCGAGTTTGAGTTTTCGCTGTCTTCCGAGGCCATGTCGCTGTCATCGCCCTCCGCCTCGTCTCTTTCGCTCTCATCGTCTGCTATCCGGCAAACGTTGTCGGCGGTCAGAGCTGCAGGCAGTTGTCCACCCTCTCCACGTTTCGTTAGCGGGGTTATGGTTGTGTTGCCAATCTGAAGCGATACCTTCTTGCCCCTGGCACGTTTCAGATGCTGCGGTTCCACGGGCTGGTTTGTGTCGAAAGTGACTGGACCTTTTAGGTTGGGGAAGCATATTATGGCTAGGAACCAATGTGACTGCTCGTTGATGGGAACTATAATAAAATCCTTATCAAATATATCGACCACTTTGGTCCACTTTTGCACCCTGGCGTGACGCTTCTGAGCGGCCGTTTGTTTCATGTCCGCTGGGCGTGTTAGCGTAGTTAATCTCTTGTAAAAAAATGTGCTGAAGATGTGCGTCCTCTCGCGTTGAGGCTCAGGAATCAGCGTGTTTCTCAGCCAGAGCAGGTAAAAATCAATGATGATATCGTTGAGATAGGACTCCTTGGTGAGGCACACGTAGTCCTCCATGCGGATGCACAGGCTTCCGGTTCCCTTCGGCGGATACATGAGCAGACTGACCTGCTCATCTGCTCTCAGCTGGCGAGGCGCTGGTTGCGAACTCTTGTCCTGCGTCTTGCGATCGGAGTCAGCGATCCTCTCGAGAATCTCGGCCGCATCGGTGGAGGAAATCTCGTCCACGCAGCTGAACATCGACTTAATGAGTTCGCGGGCGGACAAGGAGACGCTATCGAACAGCAGAATAAGGCGGCGAGTGTGATAGCTGTGCGTCTTGAAGCCGATTTCTGGAATTATCAAGGGTAAATAAATTTATTAGTAAGGAAATAAGAATTGTTTTATACTAATCATACAATGAATACCTATTGCAGTGATACATTTTAAGAATGTTTTTTTGTTGGCGGTTTGAAAAAGATGGTAGGTCAATGAAACCATAAAAGAAATACACCTAATTGGAATTTTTTGGTTTAAATAAAATTTGATATTAACTACAGATACCATTTAACTGAGAATTAATAGCCGATTTTTCGTCCCATCTCCGAAATGGGTACTTATGTCTGACTTTGAGCATTTAATACACTATTTTAATAAAGATAGAGCAATTGTTAATACAAAAAAGATATAAAATAGTCGATACTATAATGTATTATGAAACAATCTCAGGACTGACGCACTTTAACTGGGCATTTTAAATAATGACCCATAATTAGTTACTCACGTTCATGGGGCTGATCGTCGGGCAGCTGGAGCTGGTTCTTGACATATTGCGCGCAGGTCTTGAGAAGATATAGCGTGACCAGTGGTCGCGCGGGTTCGACGTTTCCAAAGTGGGCTATCACCTTGATGACCTCCTGCTTATGTATGTGCAGCACGAACTTCTCGTCCTTGTCCTTGAGGATGCCCGCAAGCCGGACGCCCTTGGAGGTGAAACAGACCTGGGGATTTACAATTAGCGGATTACCAAATTGTATTATACACATTTCAAGGGCAGGAGAAAAGGGGTGAGGCCTTACCGGCTCCGTAATCTCGAATTTGTAGGGCACCAAACGCACGCAGCTGCAGCTCAGGGATGTGGAGAACTTTTCCGGTTCCGCTATATCCGACAAATCCGTAACATCACCGCGGGAAAAGTCTGGAAAGGTAAAAAAAAAAAAAAAAATCAGACGGTCTTTAATTATGTACTCTTTTCCTCGTGGCTGCAGTCACATTTTTCAAGCACTTGCTATTTTGGTTTCCCCCGGCATTACCTTCGTCAATCATTGTGTCCTTGTATAGCAGCTGCTCTGTTTGCTTAAATATATTATTAAAAAGTAACTAAAACTAGCGAATCTAAGGGATTTCCAAAAGAACGAGGAACGATGTTTTCACGCATTCGCTTTGCTTTCTGCTTCTTCTCGGCCGACCATTAAAATGGCGTGCTCTGACTGGCAGGGGCGCCCTCTGGCGGATTGACGCGGTAGCGCTTGGTCGACGGCGTTGCCAACACGAAATTACTGCACACACAACATTGCAATGCATGAGGGATGCCGCTAGCTAAAAACTAGCTTAATTTATCGCAAAAAAAAAACAAAACTGTCGAAAAAAGCTAGTGTTTACTTTTTGGTAAATAATTGGTAAACATATTTGCAAATTCATTTGTAAACAATTTTTTTGTCGCTTTTTATCAATAATTTAAAGTATCTTTCATCAACGCTTCCTAACAATAAATTAGTATGTCAAATTAATACTGCAATCTAATAAGTATCTATCTAGTCAAAAATAAGTATCTAAATCCAATGATAAAAATATACGTTACTCCTATTTATCGAGATTTAGTATCTCAATCTAGTATAAAAATATATGACTGGTAAATTTATGGTACGTATATTTCGAAGATACGTATGGTATAATCTTAAACGTTTCTTAATACGCTCGCAAAGATACTGAATAAAAGTTACCTATTTCGGTCATTGTTTTGTCTATGTATAATTAAGTAAAAACCTAAATATTTAAATAGATAAACGAGTGGCTATTAATAAATTCCCCGACAACTTTACTAACAATACATAAATAGCTGACTGACACATTATCAAAGATTCGGGATAAAAATAGGTGCTTCATATGGGTCCTACCTTTATAGAAAAGTTCCTCATCGATCTCTGGCAGATTTGGCTCGCAGGCGAAGGCGGCGGGAAGATCATGCAGACTGCCATTGGTGTTCAGTTTGGAATTGTTTGACGATTGCTGCAAAGATTATAGAATAATAAGTATTATAAAAAATAGCCATACAACGACAAATAGGTCAATTTTAAACATACATATCCAGTCTCAGAGTTGCTTTCGCCTTCATCAGCTTCGTCCTCGCTGCTCAGCAGCACCACGGGATCCACTTCGGCCACTCGACGGCCTCCTCTGGCCCTTCCTCCCCGCATGGCCAGGGATCCTCGGCCCCGTCCTCCAACTCCCACTCCCGATCCGTAGGTCACTCCGATTTGCTTGCTAAATCGTGCTGCTGCCAGCTCTCGTTTCTTCTCCGCCGCCGACACAGCTGCGGACACGGGCTCGCTGGACGACGAAGAAGCTGGCGATGATGAAGCACTGGGCTTGGGCATGTAGGATTTACGTTTCGGCGGCTCCGGGAAGACGCGTTTGCAACGTTCGCAGCGTGCGTGATCCATTCCAGTGAAGCCACACAGCTGGCAGACGGCCAGGAAGCCATCGATCAGCTTCCTGCCCTCCGAGGGAGCAGATGCAGTGGAGCCGGCAGACGATACCGCCCCTACTGATGTGTTACCACTTGCCGAACTGGCCGCTTCGCGTTTTGCCTGCTCCGCTGCGGCATTTGCTTGGGCGTAGGCAGGCGAAGCACTGGAGGTGGCAGGACCAGAATTGGCGGATGCTCCTGCTACCGGTGCTTGATTATCCTGCGAACGGTTCATCTGAAGACTCTCCTCCGCCCGTGAAATCAGTTCGCTGGTTGACTCCTGCACCGTAAAGCCCACGGTGACCACAAAGTCCACATTGGCACCGCGATGCTCGACACATTGGATGGAGGTTGTATGGTCGAATGGCACGCCCACCTGCTCGAGGAGATCCTGCACCGTGCAGGACTCGCGTGGCAGAGTAAAGGTGATCAAACGCTGCTCGCCGCTGGCCAGGATCACCAGCATCTTGGCACTGTTCTTATCGCGGTCTGCAATTTCCTGACCGGCTCGGTTATTCAGCACATGTTGCGAGTGGATCTCGTAGTTGTTGTGCGAGGTCTTCATCACGGATGATCCCTGGGTAGCCGCTGGTGGCGCTGGAAGTGGAGCCACCACTGCGGCTGGTATCGCCCTTTGAGGCTGCATAATTCTGGTGCCCGGGGCCAAAGCTCCAGTAGGTGGTTGCGTGGGCGTAATTTTGGCCGTTGGCCGAACCATGGTTCCAGGATTGTTGGCTCTCATGGGTGCCAGGCCGGGATTTGGTGCCGCAACAGGAGCCGGCGAGGCCGACAGGGTCTGCCTCTTCTTGTACTCCGCCAGTGTCATGCTGGCTCCACTGGCCGGACGTGTTCCCTGCGCCTGACTCTGCACCACCTGCTGCTGCTGTTGCTGTTGCTCCTCTTCTTGCGAGGCAGCTCCTCCAGGATAGTAGGTGGTGAGGGTGGTGCCCGTTCCTATTTGCATGGACTGCAATTGGTTGGGGGCCACCGCTTGCGTCGGTGGTGCAGGCTTCTGTTGCTCCTTCTTCAGCACTGCCGCCTGAATCCGCTCCTCCAAATCCATGCCTATGTTGCTTGATTGCACCACTCCAGCTGCGGGATTTGCTGCAGGAGCCGGTGCCGGAACTGGTGCCGAAACAGCTGAGGTCAACGTTACAGGAGCTCTATAACGAATGGGTGAATGCCGCACCATCAGCATATGCTGGTGAGGCTGCTGCGCTTGGGGATTTCCGTCGGTAACCATGTGGGTGCGATAGATGTGACGCGGCTGCTGCTGTTGCAACTGCTGTTGTTGTGGCTGCTGCTGCGGCTGGCCGAGATTCGTGCTGATGGTGATCTGTTTCATCTGGGCCTGAGTCACAATTTGCATTGTCTGACCGTCGCTGCCACTGGTCTGCACCATCAATGGAGCTCGAGTGGGTCGCAAGCCGGCAGGACGCATGTTCCTAACCAATCCACCGGGCACTGAGCCCACAGCTCCTCCTCGCGGGCGAACTTGCCGCACTATTGTGGGCGTAAGCGTGGGCCTAGTGGTGATTAGCGCTCCTGGTCTGCTCACAACAGCTCCTCCGCGCGGAGATTTCCTGAACGCGGCTCTGACAAGTTGGGTTCCTCCTGACGCAGAGGTGGTCACTAGTTGCGGTTGCTGTTGAGCCACCAACTGCGGCTGCTGCTGCTGTTGTGGCGCCTGTTGCTGTTGCTGAACTTTTTGCACTTGCAACTGCTGGTAGACAACGTTTTGGGTTTGCTGGGGCACAACACGAGCCTGAACCAAGTGGGCTGTTTGGCCCGTGGCCTGCAGTTGCATCTGCTGTTGCTGCTGGACTTGTTGCTGCTGCACTTGCTGCTGCTGTACGTGCTGCTGGATGACGTGCTGTTGTTGCTGCTGCTGTTGTGGAGAAGTGGCATAGACGACGCGATTGTTGTACGGATGAATGGCCGTCTGGCGCATAATCAGTTCCTGATGCTGTTGGGCCTGGATTAACACAGGTTGCTGCTGCACAATCACGTGCGTATTGTTCAGCATCTAAGTAGAGGAAAACATAACACATTTTAAAAATTAAGGATGGAGTAAAGGTCACTAGATCCCCAACTTACCCCTATGGGTCTTTGTGGCTGCTGGGTGGTGGTCATGCGATAGACAATCTGCTGGTGCTGCTGCGGTTGCTGCTGGGCCGGCGATGTCTGCAACTGCAGCGTTTGTGGCTGCTGCGCTTGCTGATGCTGCTGCTGTGGGCTTTGCAGCAATTGGGCTTGCCCTTGAGGAGCAGCTTGGACTTGATAGGCGGGGGCATGTTGCTGATACTGCTGTTGCTGCTGTTGTTGTTGTTGTTGTTGTTGCTGCTGCTGCTGCATCACTTGCTGCTGTTTCTTTTGCTGTTGCATATGTTGAACAATGGCGTTTGGTTGCAAAACTTGCTCAGAAGTGTAGTAAATCTGCTGCGTGTGCTGAATGGCGGGTTGTTGCTGCTGGTGCTGCACATATTGCTGCTGTTGCTGTTGCTCCAGATGCAATTGCTGCTGCTGTTGTTGCTGCTGCTGTGCGTCCTGTTGCTGGTAGTGAACCTGCTGCACTTGATGTTGCTGGTGGTGCATTACAACTTGCTGTTGCTGCTGCTGCTGTTGTTGCTGCTGCTGCTGCTGTTGGTGCTGCTGCTGCTGGGCGAGATCATCGCCTCCGATGATGTGGTATGTGGGTGCAGCCGACTGCTGGGGCTGTTGATATTGAGCAGGAGCTGCCGTTTGGTAGACAACTTGCTGCTGGTCGTTGAACACCAACTGCTGGTCGTCCTGCAGAACCAACGACTGTAAGGTATCATAGTTTAATAATGCATTTATAGAGGATTTTTGATACTACTCACCCCCACCTCATCTTGAGGCACTTGCACTACCTGCAAATCCGAGTAGACGGGCTCCTCTAGGGGCACTATATATTGCTCCATTATCAAGGACCTAAGAAGAAGAATTAAAGGTTAATTTACTATGGTAGCACATTTAGTCAGGTTTAAATCTCAATAATAAACAATTATTCTATATACAAATTACTGCTTTTAGTCGGAGTTGCATTTTATAGCCCAGTAACAAATTCCTTAACATTCAATATGTAAATTTATTTAACACTGGAGATTATCTTTTTTTTAACAGTTTTCAGTTTATAAAAAAGTTATGATAATTATTATCCAAAATATCACTAAACAGACAGAAGCTCAACGTTTGACACGTATTTATGCTATTTAAAACACATTTAACGAACAATTGTAATGGCCCATTGCAGGCGTCTCAACTTTGAGACATTTACGCAGGCCTCAAACACACACACAAAAAACACAGTTAAATGGAAAGATATCGAGCGTTTTTAAGCAGAAAATTTAAATATTCAAAAACGCCTGAGGAATGCACAACTTCCTTGCAAATTTCACTGCGTATTCAACCATTTTTAAGCAAATTTATTATACAATTACTGGGCATTTCTTGTGCCTCATTTTTGGCCATTCCCACACACACACACCTCCTTCAACTTTCCAAAAACGGCTTATTCTTAGCGCCGCTCGCTGTGCTGGCACCCCGAAACACTTGATCCTCGATTAAAGCATATTCGCGCTGGCTTTTCACAATTATCACACGTTAATTACTCGCGATTTTGCTTGAAAACTCTGGCTTTCTTTCGTGCAATAAAAATGGCGTTCACAATGCAGGGCAGCATTCGGTGGATTTTTCGACCTGGCAATGCTCGACCGAGAGCGCCACCTGGCGGCCGCGAGGCTGTTTACAAACATTTTGCAGCGTTGCTTTGGCCGCTGGTTTATCGATGTCTCCCCTGTGCCGTCGTCTTCGCCTAATGTTTAGAGGTCCCTCTGATTGGCATGTAGCTCGTTTGAGGGGACCTCTAAACGGTTGGGCCACTGGAGTTTGCTTAAAATCTTCGTATTTTTGCACTGAACGCGGGCGTTTGCCGTTTGATCTTGTTGTGGGCCCCATGGTGGAGTTAATCGGCGAAAGTCGAATGATAACGATTTTTAACTGCAGTTGATACGCGGTTTTGGGCAGTTTGTGTTTTGTTGTTTGCTGCGCGCTCTGGCGAATTGGGTGAAGAAGAAGAAGAGAGGCAACAACAACAGCAGAAGGAAGTGATGACAGAACCGCGATAGACGTGAGACGATAACTCTGAAATCTGTGGGTGGAAGAAAATAGTTATAGTTAGTTTAAATATAGCTCTATAAAAATAAATTGTGCATAAGCTCACGAAAGCCTAAATGCTTAGGACTATACAATTGGCTGATAGCTAAATATGTGCTGAAATTGGAAGGTTTTTTGAAAAACCAGATTAAAAACTCAACATTATATTTATTTGTATACCCGTATTTTTTATTTTTTTTTATTTTAAGAGAAAAACAACAAAATTATAAGATTTAAAACAATGTTGTTAATAAAAATATCAAAATTAATATTTTTAAAAATGTTAATTGTCAACTGAATTATGTTGAATTATTCACCTAAACAATATAAATTCTTTTTAATTTCTTAACTTGTTTAAATCTTGTTGACCGTAAAATACAATAAATATATATAAATCAACTTCCAAGCCACCCATCGTTTTGTTCTATCGAAAGTTTATTTTTTTAGTGGCTCATCCCTAATTACGCAGCTTTTATTATTTTTATTTTAACAACAATGTCGAAGATATTTACCCCGACAAATCAAATACGCCTCACAAATGTCGCTATTGTGAGGTTGAAAAAGGGAGGCAAACGCTTTGAAATAGCCTGCTATAAAAATAAAGTGCTTTCTTGGAGGAGCAACAGGTAAAATCCATGATATTCCGCACGTGCTTGTTGTGAAATGTTTTGATCTTTAAAAAATCACTGCTTTTTTGTTTTTTACAGCGAAAAGGACATCGATGAAGTGCTGCAGACCCACACAGTGTTCACCAATGTCTCCAAAGGACAGGCGGCCAAGAAGGACGAGTTGCAGAAGGCCTTCAATAAAACAGATGAAACGGAGATTTGCAAGGAGATCCTGAGCAAGGGAGAACTCCAGGTGTCGGAAAAGGAGCGTCAAAGTTGCCTGGACACCCAGCTGAACAGCATAGTCAATTCCGTGGCTGCCCTTTGTGTAAATCCGGAGACCCGTCGTCCATACTCCGCCTCCATCATCGAGAAATCGCTGAAGGATGCCCACTTCTCTGTGAAGATGAACAGGAACACCAAGCAGAACACACTGGAGGCCATTAAGATGCTCAGGGAGCACCTGCCCATCGAAAGATCACGCATGAAGCTGCGGGTTAGCTTCGCAGGAAAAGAGGGAGGTGGCAAGCTCAAGGAGTCGGTGGTCAAGCTGGCCAACACCGTGGAGCACGAGGAATGGGACGAGGCCACATTGCACCTCACTTTGCTCATAGATCCTGGCCAGTATCGCGTCATTGATGAGTTGGTGAGGAACGAGACCAAGGGCAAAGGACTGCTGGAGCTGCTCGAACTGAAGGAAGTTGTGGAGAGCGAGGAACTGTTCTAGAAATTTTAACCCCCCCTAAAAATCATCCGTTTGGTAATGTTTATGTAAAACATAAATGAGACTATGTGAAAATTATAACGATTTTGATTTCTTGAAAAAGGTTAATATCAATTGCTTTGGTTTATAGCTTTTTTTTGTTTATTGCTTTGTCTCAATTGAAGTGTTTTTTATATAAGCCAGAAAATTTAAATACCACGTTTCTATTTGACCACGTATTTGGTATGCATGCAATTTCTCGCCATCGGAAGTCATAACTAAGACATCCTGTATAGAATCGTTATTTAATATAGATTCTTGACAATTTTAAGGAATTGAGAAAATAACAAAAAAGAAATTATTTGCCACCGAAAGGTAATCGTACATCTGTTTGCATGTTTATAAATGAATCATCAAGATTGTGAAAGGCATAAACAATTGCTAAACATATATCGGCTACAAGCTTTCATAAACATTTATCATAAAAAGTGATGAGTTTGGATACCCTCAAATAACATAAATGATTTTCTTGCATTTGAATTTGATAAACTAAAATTTTTTGTAAATTTTATGGAAATAACAAGTAGGATTACAAGCTTAACTGCCCAGCTTCGTATTGAGATGAATAATTAAAAGGGATCTGGTGTTTTTTACATATATATGTGATTATTTATAGAAAGTAGGACCGAGATTATAACAAATATACTGCAAAATTGAAAATTTCTGTGCTGGAGAGCTTCACTTTCGTTTCTTGAGGTTTTCAAAGCGGCGTGAGAGATCGTCGAAGTCGATCTCTTCCTCGTCGTCCTTCTTTTCGGCCCCTGAGCCCGGAATATCCGGCAGATCGTTGGGCACGTTGGGCAGCGAGGGGAAATCCAACGCCGGAGGAGCACTTGGCAGAGTGGGATTACCCGGTGGCAGCTTAGATCGGGGTTGTGGTTTAGGTTTGTTGGCGTTCTGCGAAGGGAAAGTGAAAACAATTAAATTCATAGTTTTTTTTTTTAAAGCCCTAAGGCACACAATTCAAAAAACCTTCTTTATCTGATGTCTGATTAATAATCTTAAATAATAATATGATTTCAATAAAGTATTAATTTGATTTGCCTAACATCATTTTTGATTTAATAGAATGAATAATTTTTAGTTTTAGAGCTTATCAGTAAAGAAAGGTTTGGTACAATAGATTTTATAAGAAAATAAGTGCTTGGTTGGGTTAAATCCAATGTCCTGACCTGGAGATTAACGGGGTTAATCGAGGTGTACCGCGGCGGCGGATCATTTTCGGGTTTGGGGCGCTGTCAAGCAAAATTAAAGAAAACATAAGGCAAATAAAAATAATAAACACGCGCATAACAAATTAATAGGCATAATAATCAAATGATAACAGGTGGACAGACAGTGGGCAGCAAACTATGAATCATTTGGATGACTGGACTTACACGCACAGTTGGCACAGACGGGCAAAATACGTCACACAGATATTAACAGTGGAGAGAAGAAACCATGGAAGCGTTTTCCATTTGTTAAGTGATGTTGCAGAACGATAAGCGAGTTAGTTTTTGGATTACCAGCATTCTACACAAAGTAAACCTACCAAAATATTCTCATCCGGGCTGCCCGAGCCATCCGTATTGTTCGATTCACGCTGCAACAGCCCAAGAATCATGCAAAAACATGCGAAAGCTTAACAATAAACTATTTTCCAATGAGGGGGTTACCTCTAGCTGCAGTTGCGATTAGATTATCAATAATTTGCTTCCTTTTTAGATTTTTTTTTTGAGCTAAGGTTCCGAAAACAAAACATTTTTTTTAGATATTGAAGATCTATATAAGACTTTGGTATAGAACTATATTTTGTTAGTTTATAATTTAATGGGACAAATGAAATTGTCTTTGGAAGAATATAAAGAAAATATGCAATTTTAGTGCCTATAATCTTATAAATCAGATTAAAACTATTTCAAAGTTAATCTGATTGCAACTGCATATGTCAATACTGTTTTGTTTTTCTCTGCGGTGTTATAAAAAATCATAGAAGTATATTTACATTGATAAAGTTGGTGTTCAGATCCTTCTCCTCGGCGCACTTTGCAGGTAAGACTGCGGGAGGTGCCGGCTGATTGGGCGGTATGTTGTAGGCAAATGGCGGAGGTGGCTGCATTGGCTGGGGGGCAGCACATGCTCCGCCTCCACCGCCTCCTCCTCCTGATCCACCAAAGGGTGGGTAATTAAAGGGCTTGGTACTCGGTGGCATCGGCATGTCGGGCAGTTGTGGCATTGCCGGATAACCAATGAAACCCATTTGCGGTGGAGCAGCGCCACCACCGCCGCCACTCAAATTGTTCCGATCGGACAGGTCGATGAGATGCGGCTGCTGGGGCTGCTCCTCCTGCATGACCTGTGGATCCGGTTCGTACTCGATGTTGTAGTTCTTGGCAATGGCAATGAGGTACTTCTCCACCAGAAGCTTGGGCGGCGCCTGCAGCGTGAGCTTGTGCATCAGTTTCTCCGACACAAAGTGCTCTCCCGTGGCCGTTCTCGATTGCTCGGCGAATTGCGGACCGTATTTGGTCACAAATATATCCGATATGATCTTTAGCTCCGCTATATCGCTCTGGAGGCGGGGACACACCCACACCAAGCTGGCCACCGGCTCGGCGATCCCAGTGTCCAGTTCCTTCATCTGGGTGATGAGGCCAAATCTGGCAAGCAACAGGTCACAGTACATCTCCACCATTTCCATGGCCTCGACCAGGTAATCCTCCCTTTAGTAATTATCCGTCAGATAAATACAAGTATAGGGTGATGTGTTATATCCGAAGCACCCACCTTATTATATGCTCCACACGAATCCGAGCCCTCTCCGTTTTTCCCGTGGCCAAGTAGTCGGCTATCTCCTTCCTGGACTTTTGCGTCAGCTCCGCCTTCTTCTTCTCCAGCAATTTCAGGCGATTCAGAGCCAATCGAAGATTGGTCTTCAGTTTGTTGTAGTTGGGGCCGCTGGAAAACATCTTAACTTCGCCCTGGGCAGACGATTTACTAATGAAAACAAGGAATTTAGCGACGGTGATTCATTAAGTCGGGAAAAACAAATTAATATGACGTCACAAACTGTGTGACCGTACATCGGTTTCGCGAGAATGCACGCTCTACGCACTACGGTCACACGAAATAGCCGCAATTAGTTTAAAATTGTTTAAAACTAGTTTAAATATCTTTTCAAATGCTTATTAGGCCGTCTTGTGACTTTTTAAAGTCAACATTTTATTTATATGGTACTGACTGGAGTTAACCCCAGTCTGCTGATTGATGTATATCGTTTTTGTAAACAGATCCCTTTTACTGTCTACAAATAATTACTAAACTCCAGTTTATCTCAAATATTGTTAATTATTGAACAAAAAAAAATTAAATTTTAAAGAATTCTGTTTTGGTACCCTTAAAGTTTTTAAAACTTTAGTAGTTGTTTGGTGTGTATTTTTACTTGAAGCTTTAAACACGAGGTAAGTTTCGAAAAGCTGGCTTAAAAATTTTATCATGTTAAAATTTGTGTGGATATTTTTAGATAATAAATAAATAAATAAAAAAATTTAAAAGGAATGGGATTAAATAAGATAAAGAGGTTCCCCTCCAAGTCTCTTGTTTTATGTTCGGTTTGTTTTGTTGAGCTTTATTCGTTGAATTTTAGGTAACACAAAAACCTTTAACAATTATTCAGTTTACAATTTGCCATTCGATGTCGTTTCGCCGCCGCCGCTGTGCAATTGTGTTTGGCGCCCGGTCGTGAATCCTGCGACGAGTCGAGTCCTTCGCCAGACACAACAACAAAGTTGCAGCCATCCTTGATCGCAGGTGTGTGTGTTTGTGGTGTATGTGTGTGTGTGTGTGTGTGTGGGGCTAGGAATCGCCATTTTTAAGGACTCGAAATATTAACTAAACTGAAACGAAATCATTTAGATATGCGGGGGCGGTGGCGGCGGTTCGGGACACTCCTCCTCCTCCGTCTCGCAAGGACACGCCTCCATCTCGTCGATGGCGCAGCCCTCCTCCTCGCAAACACCCGCATCCGGGGCGGATGGCTCAGATTCGGGATCCCGGTAGCCGGCATACACTTCCGCCCGCTGCTTGATGATCTCCTGGATGATGGCCGTAAGGATCTCGCGCGAGTCCACGATGTGACCGACCTCCTCGGCCACCTCGGCGGACAGCCACGGGCAGACGCTCTTCATCAGCTGCTCCTTCTTCACGGCATCGCTGGCCGGCTCAATGTTCTCGAGAACCTCCGGCACCAGGCTGGCAATGTGTCCCTGGAGCAGCTTGGCCGCCGTCACGCTCTTCTGCATCTCCGCATCCAGCTCCTTGGCAATCGCATCCTGGCGCAGGCGGCGCTGCTTCTCCGCCTGCAGGCGAATCTCCTCCGCCTCCAGGCGACGCAGCTCGGCCAGCTCAGCCTCCCGTTGGGCCAGGAATCTGTGGAATGGTCATTAAAAACAATATAATTTCAGGTCATGGATATGGTTATAGCCACACAGAACACAACTGTAATATATACAAAACTTAATGATTGTAACGTTTGTAACCCGATTTTGGCTGTTAAAAGTAATATTTTATGTAATGTTATTGGATATGTGAATCATAAAATATACAGAAAAATATACGATGTGATTTCAATATGATTTGAATATATATCTCTTCATTTTAGCTATTATTTGTGACTCAAAATACAACAAATTGTAAATGCACAGAAATTATATACCATATGATGTAAAAATGAATTTTGGAACATTTCGGAACACATAAAAATTATATAATTTTAAAATAATTATCTAAGTTACGTTCGAAATTTAACTATAACGATAATTTGTTAGATTAAGGAGAATTTTTGTTTACTTCCGTGCTAAACAAGTTAATTAAAAAATGTTTTAGGGCACTACTATAAATTCGAATGCAAGTATTAATTTTTTTTGAGATTTTGAACTATATAGTTTTGAGAGACTGTATGTATTCAAGTCAAATTAAATATTAGATTAAATAATATTTTTATATTTGAAATAACTAAAAACCGCAACGAAAATCCATGCGAACACATTTTAAATTGAGTATGAAATAGTTTTGTTTTCTAACTTTGTACTTTGTTCAGTGTACTTACTCTTCCTGCTTGCGCCGCAGACTGGCCAGCTCCATCTCGTGGGCCACCTCCAGCATGCTCTGCTCGATGCACGCGTCCACCAGGACATCGATGATGGGCTGGGCCTCGGCATCGAAGTGGAAGAGTTCGCCGTCGCCGATCTCGGTGCCCACGTCCACGCCCACCTTGGCCGGGATGAACGGAGGCGTTGGCGGCTTCTCCAGGAACAGGTCCGTCTGGGTGTCGATGGAGAACTCCGGCGGGCGCTGCACCAGCTTCTCCAGGTACTTCTCCGTCTGAATGGTCTCGTGTTTGCGGCCCTTGACCGGCGGCGGAGTTCCCAGGACGTTGCGTTGATTGCGGCACTGGATCGTCCGCTTGCGCAACATATTGCGGCGCCTCAATTCGGCGGCCTTGTCGAAGGGATCCACATCCGTCTGGAGCGGAAAGTAATGTGAATTAGTCGCGGGTCAGGGCTGGCAGAGAACTGAGAACCGAGAACTGTGAACTGGGGAAACCTACCACCATGGAGGAGTTGCCGAAGTTGCTGCCCTTTATGACGCGACGGTCGTACATGACGTTCTTGTAAGGCTCCGGCGGCGGGACGATGGGTCTGCAAAGGTAGGAATTGGGAGGCAAGGAGGTGCCGGCAGGTGAGAGAGCCATCAATTAGTAAGCCTCGACCCAGTTCAACAAACTCCACATGCAGAAAAATAATTGCCTATTTTTCAAAAGGCTCTCATGTGAAGTTTTATTAAATTCGTTTAAAATTCTAAAGTAATAAAAATATATGTTCTAGTCTAGGACCTTATTATCTTAAACTAATTTAAAATAAAACTTGTATTTATTATTCAGTTAGTAAATGCATTTCAAGTATACGTAGTCTTTAAATACGATTGTTATTTACCGTTTTTAGAATATACCTAGATTTAAAAGACATAATTAGTACTTATAGTTTAAGTATTGCTCTTAAAAAAAATTAATAATTCAGAAAATATTTGATATATAATAGAAGTAAAAAAAAATTATTTATTAAAAATGGTGTAAGACAAAATTATTAAAAATTGAAATTGTATTTAATATTCAGTTAGTAAACGTAGTTTTTTAATCCGTTAGAAGCACACAATTACATTACATATATGTACTTTATTAATATTGCATTTAATGAGCTGCTTATATGATGTTGTTAAGTCTGTTTTATAAAGGTACCGTTTATATTTAATAGATTTACTTAATTATTAGTTATTGGATATATGTCGGTTTCGAGCATAGTTCATGCCCTATGTTCAGTGCACTTCTCAGCTTTTCCTAGACCCAAATCTGTTGCACTATCAAGGCGATAAACATCAAATTTGTGCATTTCTCAACGCCCTCGCAGGCCGCTTGTCAAGTCATCTCCGATTCGAATCAATTTCCCCAAAGTTCAGTACACTTTTGGGTCAGATGGAGGGGCGCCGATTTAAAGCTTTAAAGTTAAGCGAGTCCAGTCCGAAGTTGCTGAGTAATTTATGACTTGCTAATTTATATGTATGGCCCCGGCGGCAAGTTAGCGGTGAAACAAACATTTCTTACCGCATTTGCACATACGATGGCGTACATAACATTGCCAGACATTGCACTAGGAGAACTTGGCACCTGAACTCGTGACCTATGCAAATTCTTTGCTACTTTTGGCCCACAAACAGGAAGTCACATTGAAGTTGTTGGCGAATGTCTAACAACATTTCTCTGGGTCTGGGTCTGAAGACCAAAGCAATCAGCTAATGGAACGAGAAACCGCTGGTCCGGCTTCCTTATGCCTATTACTTGGGGATATACCCTTGCACAAAAAATATAGTTTGCAATAATTTCTTGGATTTTTCGTATACAGGGAATATACATTCTAAAATTCGCAAATACAATGTACAAGTAAGAAACTTTTCACAGAGTTAAGCAACATTTTTTAGAATGTTTATTCAAAAAAAGGGTATGAAAAGAGATTAAGTAATTGAAAAGTTAAACTTTAAGTAAAGCAGCAGTGTATACTTTAAATGTGTTTAAGATTCAAAGCTTTGTATTTTTAATTTGATATAATAATATCAGAGCAACATGGTTTTATAAAATGTATCAAAACATTTTTTTTTACAAATATAAAGAACCAATATTTTAACTAAGCAGCCTAAGGCACCAATAATTAAAATAAAAAAAAAAAAGAAAATAATAAATTGTCATGTATTGTGTATTTAACTTTGTGGATTTCCCTCAATAAAGAATGGGAAAATGACCTGCATTCGGTCAACTCTTTTACGCCATTCTAATTTCAATGTTGAATGATATCTCATATTAGTGTGTAACAAAAAAAAAGAAAACCCATTTACCAGAATAACATCCATTTATGAGAGACACCCGCCAGGACGTGTTTTGTTTTTGTTTTTCCATAGGTGTCCTTCTTGCCTCTTTTGGTGTGGCAATTGAACTTAATTTCCCTCCATTTGTGGCACTTTTTTTTCGCTGTTTTTTCGACCATTGTTGTTGTTTACGAAATCTTGATTTAAATTATTTAAGCCCTGAGTTGGGAATATAGGATATTCACCGCTGGCACGACACATTCGAGGGTCCTTTGTCCGTTGGGCTCGCATGTTCGTTTATGCAAGGCAAACGAGTTTCCCAAACGAAAATGCGCTAAATAAATTAATCAAACCGTTCAGGGAATTTACAATGTCCAAATGCTATTGGAAAAGCATATCTAATTGAATTGTCGAACAGTCAATAAAAGGTAAGAAGTGGGGTATATTTATAAAATATGGAAAAACGCAGATTGGGAAGAACCTTCGATTCTATTTGCTTGCCGCAGTTTGTGTCCTTGTTTAAATTGTTATTAAAAAGTATTAAAAGATATTATAAACATTAATAGTGTTGGCAAGAGCTAGGCAATTTTTAAACGCTTTTCATCAGAGACATTTTAGATCTAGTCAATTAATAAGAAAATAACTAATTAAGTTTACTTTTGGAAACAATGTTCAAGAAATTGAATTGAGTCATTAGATCTAGTCAGTTAATAAATGTTTAAATATCTCTAAACGTTCAAGAGATTTCCGATTAAAAATATTATAAGGTTCTATTAAATTGTAATTAAATAGTAGCACTTTGTAGCAAAAACACATTGATAATTGCAATGTTTAGGTGTCAATCGATAAAGGTAGCAAGCCAAGTATTTGCGGTCTAAAGGGGGAGCTAAGTTCTGGTTCCATTTCCATTCCTGCCCGGCTGTATATTTCTCATTTGAATTTATGGTAATATATTTTGGCCCACTTTGCCTTGGTCAGTTGCTAGAACCTTCCCCCCTTTTTGCTCTTTTTTTTTTTTTGTATTTAGGGGTTGGCCTTTTTATTACCTTTTGTCGCTGCTGTTGCTGTTGTTGTTGTTGTTGCTGTTGTTGTTGCGTCGCTGCTGCAATTGCTGTTGGAACTGCGCCTTGGTGATGTGCAGACCGCCGGCGAGGGATTGCGAATCGTGGGCGGATTTGGAGGCCGCTGCTGTTGCCGCTGCCACTGCAGCCGTGGCACGCACACCGTTCAGCCGGGTGGCGGTCACCTTGTGCTCCTTGGCCTCACCGATGGCGGGATCCTTGGCGTAGTAGCCCTGCAGGATCATGGGATACGAGGAGTAGGCGTAGACATGCCTGCGCAGCATGGTGGCCGGTATCATCTGGACTTCATGCGGCGGCGGCAGGAAGATGCCCTGCGGCACAGTCGTCTCGAACCGAGGTCGTTGGGCCATGGCCGGATCCATCCAGGCGCCGGAACTGGCGCTCTGCCGTCCGCCGTAGCCGTTCTCCTCGGGCGCCAGGAAGCGCAGCTTCTGGCTCAGCTCATCGGCAAAGCTGCGCACCTCCTGGGTGCTGCGCGAAAAGAAGGATCTCGGCGGCGGCTGATTACCGGCAGGCTCTGCTACATGGTGATCCTGGTGATCCGTCGGGATGGCGGCCTCCTCACGTCTGATGGGACGCACGATGGCCTGTTGGGGTCGCGTGGGATGGGCAACGAGCTCCTGCTCCTCCGAGGGCTGATGGCGCAGCACCGAAAATGCGTTGGTCACCACGTGCTGGAAATTATAAGGACTCTGGTACCGCTGAACGTTGAAACCGTTGGAATTGTAGTTGGAGTTATAGTTGGAGTTGTAGTTATAGTTAGAGTTGGAGTTAGATGTGGACGAGTTGCGTCCTGGTGCATAGGGATAGCTGCTGGCGAAGGAGAAGTTCTGCACGCGATCCGGTCTATTGGCGGGGATGGGTTCCGGGTCCAGGTCTGGATCTGGCTGAGGTTCAGGGTGTGAGAGTGCTGGGTGCTGCTGCTGCTGATGCTGCTGTTCCGTCTCTGGCATGGTCTCCGCTTCCTCCGCCCTGGTTATCCCTGTTCCCGGCCACCGGTCACCTCGTTCATTATAAATAGCCACCACACGGTTCTCTCGCCCAGCGCACCGAAAAAAAGTTAATCAATAATTTTCCTATACTTTTTTGTGTGGTTCGCTGGTCGCCCGGTCAGGTGTTGCTTCGCTTGGTTTTGGCTGTTTGTCCGCGGAACACACTACCGCACGGTTCGAATGGCAAACGCCAAATGACCAAAGGACTCGCAGGTCTAGCACTCGGACCCGGCTTCGTCCTTAACTCGGCCCGTGGTCAGCAGTCGGTTGTGCAGTCGGAAAAATATTACAAATTGATTCTATGAAATATTCCACCTCATGCCCTTGAGTTTATGTGGTAAACGTTTTTGCAAGGAAACGTATTTAAAACATTTCTTAGGAAGTAATGTGTTGCAACATCATTTTTTTTGTATAGGAATTGCGTTTATGGGTGTGATTTCTTTGACAACAATTTATGTTTCGGTTTCAGTCAAAAGGGATTTAACTTAAATAATTCATAAATTTTAAAACTAAAGTTTTACAAGAAACTTAAATTAATTGCTAACATTTTTTTTTAACACTTATAAATAATCATACGCAAATATTGGTTTTCCCTAAAAAAGGCTGTCACTTAAATTTAATCTCTGGAAAAGGCATTTTAAAATACTTCGCTTTAAAAATGATACCTTTGCGTTTATAATTAGTAATGGAATATTCATTTAAAATCCAATTAATAAATCGCTTTATAAATCAGAGTGATAACCCGATTTTTACAAGTGTGTCTTAAGTTCGCGTCGTAGTTTGAGGCACCTGACGGGCAGGTGTTGCAATAATAATGCGAACTGTTAACAGTCGACGGCGTTGGCATGGCCAAATCCAAGTTCCCAGGAATTCTACTTTGCATAAGAGCTTTTTTTTCCACGCAGGTCGTTGGGTCTCCAATTAAAGGTCCTGCCTGGCGGAGGACCTTGAATTTCATTCAATGGTGTCCACATTTCCTGTCGCATTGCTGGAGATGACTTCACGCATTTTGCTGGCTGACATTGAAATCGGAGGTGGGTGGTTCTGTTACTTGGAACTCCACCCGACTAATGTCAATGGCCAAGGTCGATGGTTCGGACTGCCCGATAAGCGGAATTCAAAAGCAATCTGAGCATAATTAATTAGAAAAGGAACCAATTATCTTAAATTAGATACATGACAAAATTCTTTCTAAGGATAACAAATACCTAACACATTTTTCTAATTTAATGTTTAGTTTTATAAGGGTCTCCCCCTGAAATAATACTATTATAGTCCACATTTTTTAATTATGTTTTTTAATGTTGCGCAGTCAATCGACAATAATTGACTGTTCGGGTAACTATTAAATCTATTTAAATGTTTCCTTAATTATACCAATTAATTTATCCAATAATTATTGCTTTGATGACCTTAATTCCATCTTTTGTTAAGGAGCATGAGAGTTTGGCTATAACTTGATATCGAAACATTAAAGTTTACTGTGTTTTTATCACATTTTGGGATCATCCTTAATGCCTGTTTGACCTTAATCGGACCCAAGACCAGCCCCCGTCATTATCTGTACTCCGATATGTATATTTATTTATTTTTATGATAGTGCGTCAGTTTATACTTTTGAGCAGTCAACGACTTGCACACTTCTCATAATTTCCCCGCAAATCCGCCTTCCCTGTTGTTCGTCATTTGTTTCCTTTCGGGACACGAAGGCTTCTGTTCAAAATGTTAGCCGGCTTGCGTGTCCTTTAGTTGAGCCTCTGTATTGACCATCACCCGAACACGGTCGGCGTTTAATAATTTATTTACGCAATTTATGACTTTCGTTTTTGGTCTCGGATTCCGTTGACCCCAGTGGGGAGACATATAGGAAATCCCATTCCCAGGGCGTTAAATAAGTTTTTATGACTGAAGGTTACTTTTGCAACTTTCAGATACCCATCATCAGGTTGTTTGATTTCTTTTTTCTATATCACTTATTAAGATTAGAAATACTAACGTACAGAAAGTGTTGATATTTTTTAAGAATAGGTTGAAATGCTTTTTCTATCATGGTTATTATCTAAACCTAAAGTTAATAATACATAAGTTTTGCATTTAATTAAAAAAAATGTATTTTTTTAATGTGTTATTAATTCACAGATAATTTTATAATAGTTTTGAGACTTAAAACCTAATACTTTATCAAATAAAGTGAATAAAATACATAAAATATTACATCTATTCAACTAGGCATTAGCTGCAGTTTTTCTTTTAGTTCGTAAAACTATGGACTTAACCTCTGAATTAGGACTAAAATACACCCCAGTAGTTTTACCCCCATGACAGGGTATTTAAGGAAAATTCCTTGGGTGTTTTCCGTTTGCTACTCACTTGGGACAACCTTTGATTTTGATCGGCTTGGGATGGCTGGCCCACCAGAAGGCCTGTTTGCAGGGCGGCGCGGGACAAGGATTCTCGTGCCACTTGAGCTGCATCTCGGTGACCTCGGTTCCTTTGATTCCAGAACTGAGGAAATCCATGCCCATGCCTTTTCCCCCGCCATTGGGCTTGTATTCCCGCTTCGGGATCGTCGGCATTGTTCACTTTTCCTTTGTTACGTTTATAGGTTTTTAAAAAAATATTATATTTACGGGGTAAAAGTCAACCGATTGCCGAAACTACGTGTAAAAAAGTGATTCTCAAAAGCTGTCACATTTTCACAGGTTTCTTTGTTATCCGCACGTTATATATTGAAGTTATTAAACATTTTATTCAAATAATATTTTTGTTTTTGTTGTACTTAGCTGACATTGGCTAGAATTTGTATCCCAAATAAACAACAACGGCGGAATTTCCGCAGTTGCCATGGAAATTTGATGTCGGCATTGTTAAACTGTTGCTGTGCTGGGATGGGTTTTTGGCATGGGTTCTGTTTGCAGAAACACTCTGTATGAATACTCGATAAATTTTGTACGTTTATATTTAAGTACACAAGTTGTATGCCTTGTGCTTTCTCATACGAATTTCAGCCTGCTCCATTTCTGGTCACTCAACTTGTCCATATATTATTCACTACTGACTGTCCCTTAGTATGAGGAATCTATTTTTATTTCTTCAAATCAAACTCAAGGAGCCACAAATTACTTGAAGGAGCTTTTTTAGCTTTAAGCTAGAAGTGCGAAGTAATGTCTTAATTTTTATTTTCTTAATTTTGGAACTAGCACTGAAAACTGTTGTTTTTCAATAAACTAAATTTAAAATAAAAGAAAACATAATGGAAGAAATATTGCAAAATAAATAATAATTACCATAAAATATATATTTAATTCATAGTTTACATATATGACCTGTATTTCCGATTACAAATCAGAAATTGTTTTTTTTCTTATTTCTTTTTTTTTTTTAACTTGACATTTAATAACACAACTTTTACGTTTTTTTTTTCAAATTTTTTCTGACATGTGTTGTTGACAGTCAGGCAGCCCTATGCGATGTTTTTTAAGTGATGTGGCAACTTGGTTTTGTATTTGTTGCAAGCAGTGTGTGTCTTGTCGATGTTTAGCAACCGATGCGGTAGCTTTATTTTTCGAAGGCATTTAAAGCAGTGCAACAAGTAAAAACAAGCAGTTTATCCCGCGAATTTTTAAATGATGAACTATTGAAAAAAAATACTTATAAATAAACGACACTTATACATCCTTATTTTTTGATGTCACTTTTTGCCAGATAAGAAAATTAGATTGGTAATAGGAAAGTATGTATATTTTTGGTGAAGAATTAACTACACTTACCAATAATTTTCAAAAGTTCTTAAACACGCTGGACATATTAATGAAATAAACTAACTAACAATAAAAATTTAATTTAGAACATTTTAAAAACGCACAAAAATATATTTAAGTTTAATTTATAAATTTCTTTTATTAGAAATCGTTATAATTGGTTAATGTGGTAAATGACATTCTGTGGATACCTATAAAATTTTGTTGCATCAAAATTACCACGTTTATCTAGCAACTCATCTAAATTGAGGATTATCCCATACAAATTACTTTTATTCCTTGAAAATAGGCAACCTCGTTTTCGATTTCATCCTCAATTAATTACCGCAGAAGTTAAATCTTTTGCCATGAGTTAAACTGTTTTGACGTGGCCCCGCCTGAATCGAATTCCCTGGAACGTGTCATTTAATTAGGTTTTCATGGCATATCCATATCTTGGACTATTGCATGGTTGTCATTTGTACATTTTACCCCCCTTTTTGTTCGAGTTACATTGAATCCTTTGTATTGTTTTGCTTATTCATTAACAAACATTTCGGGGGACTTTGGACTTCGGGCCCGGACACAATGACGTGGCTATCAACGATGACGATTCGCTTTATGCGGGGGTGATAATTGTGTCCGAACCCCTTGAAAATCCCGGGCTGCCTAATAAGATCACAGAGGCAATGGGACATTGAGTCAACATTGCATAAGTGGCCATGACATTGGGATTGGTTAAAGGCCACACAGGCGACAACTGGCGACTGAGATCTTGTCCAGCAATTTCCCGATCATTTGCACAGATACGAGGCAAGAGTACGAGTGCCCGGATTCTGCGAAGTGCCCCGGAAAAAGTGTCCCACTGAGTGTGTTGGCTGGTTGTCAAACAAATCATTTAGGGATTCCCGTACCTCCCGAACTCCTGTGTAGGTGTGAGCTGCAGTTTCCCAGGAAAAAGTACGTCCAGTTCGAGATTTGATTAATTTATTACCCGTTTGCCAAAGGGAAAGTGATCTTCGAGTACCTAACGGTAGGGGATCGTAAAAAACGTTCGGTAGACAATTGTTAAATTATCTGCGGGCTGCTGTTGTGGGCACTTTTTTATGAGTTCCTTATGTGCGACAGCGGCGCCAACAGAAAAATAAAATAATTATGGCTAACAGAGTGTAAATACATGCTAACGTATTCAAACCAAATACTCTAAATGTTCGTTGAACTTAAAGTTTTTGCAAATATCAACAATTTGATTAAAACAAATATTAAAGCAACACTTAAAAATCTTTGAATATTCTAAACACAAATTAACACCTTTTACAAACAAATTTATTTTTAACATATTCAATATATATTATTGATTAATTTCCAATTTATTTAACAAGGCTTAAAATTTATTGGTGATAAAACAGGATTTTAAATAATGAAATGTGTAAAT